CCCGTCGAGGCGGGGTATGCGTAAAGGCATTTCCCCTCCGTTACAAAAAAAAAGGTAGAACATCATATCATCGTCAAAGGTTCTCCTGCTGCTTCGACTCCTCGACGATTATCTCCTGAGAAATTGAAGTTCCCAAGAGATGAATTTAATACAATGATGGAGCAAGGAATTTGTCGACCATCGAGTAGCTCTTGGGCGGCTCCGCTTCATATGGTTCCTAAGGATGGATCAAATTCTTGGCGACTTTATAGAGATTATTGTGCTTTGAATGCAGCCACTATTCCTGATAGATATCCTCTTCCACACATTCAAGATTTTACTGCAGGTCTACACGAAAAGAACATATTTTCCAAAATAGATCTTGCAAAAGCCTACTATCAAGTTCCTGTTGCAAAAGAAGATATACCGAAAACTGCTGTGACTACTCCTTTTGGACTCTTTGAATTTCTGGTAATGCCTTTTGGTTTTCAAAACGCTGCTCAGACCTTCCAACGTTTAATGAATAGTATTCTTTCTGGTCTTGACTTTTGTTTCTGTTATCTGGATGATATTTTGGTGGCCTCGTCCAATGAAAGTGATCATTTCAAGCATCTGCATACTGTTTTTACACGTCTGAAACAATTTGGTATGACGATTAACATTTCCAAATGTCTTTTTGGTAAAGAAGAAATTTTCTTGGTTATCTTGTTTCCAAGCAAGGAATTAAACCTACTACAGAAAAGGTTAAAGCAATTATGGATTATAAAAAACCTAAAACCATTCATGAATTAAGAAGATTTTTAGGGATTATAAACTTTTATCGTCGTTGTTTAAAAAACGCTGCTTCACATCAAGCAATTTTGACTAACTATTTGAAGGACAGTAAGAAGAAGGAGTTAGTTCATTGGTCACCTAAAGCGGAAGAGGCTTTCAAATTCTGCAAGGAAGAGCTGTTACGTATCACAACCTTGACTCATCCTCATCCAACAGTCCCTCTTATTTTGACTTGCGACGCTTCTGATTTAGCGGTAGGTGCTTCTCTGGAACAAATTATTGACGATTATAATAAACCAATAGCGTTTTTCTCTAAGAAGTTGGATAACACTCAACGCAATTATAGCACTTACGATCGTGAACTTCTGAGTATCTTTTTGGCTATCAAACATTTTAGATATCTTCTTGAAGGACGTCAAATTTTGATACGAACTGATCATAAACCTTTAGTTTATGCTTTCAAGCAGAAATTGGATAAAGCTTCGCCTAGATTCGTCAATTGGATTTTATTGCTCAATTTTCAACTAACATTGAATATATTCCTGGAAAAGATAATATTGTTGCAGATTCGCTCTCAAGAATTGAATCCATTTCTATGCCAGTTATTGTTTCTCTGGAAGATCTGACTACATACCAACAAGAAGATGAGGAATTAAAATCTCTCCTTACAGATTCTTCTCTCAAACTACAGAAACTGATTCTTACTGGTTCTTCTTCTCCGATATTTTGCGATTGTTTCACTGACAATATTCGTCCATATGTACCTCAACTTTTACGAAGAAGAATTTTTGATGTGGTTCATGAACTTTCGCATTCCAGTGGACGTTCTACCTGCAAGCTGATTCGACAAAAATTTGTTTGGCCAACGATGAAAAAAAAACATTATAGAATAGTCTAGAACTTGTTTACCTTGTCAACGAGCTAAGATTCACAAACATACGAAAAATTTTCCTTAAAAGATTCCTATTCCAGATCAGCGCTTTCAATATGTCCATTTGGACTTGATTGGTCCTCTTCCAGTTTGCCAAAACTTTAGGTATTGTCTCACCATGATTGATAGATTTTCACGATGGCCAGAAGCAATTCCTTTGGTTGAGATTTCTGCGGAAACTGTCACAACTGCCTTTTACTCTCATTGGGTGGCGAGATTTGGTTTTCCACATATTATTACCACAGATCAAGGTCCACAGTTTGAAGCAACACTGTTTAAAGCTCTCACCAACCTTATTGGTTGCGAGCGTGTCAAGACTTCTGCTTATCAGCCAGCCTCTAATGGAATTCTAGAGAGATGGCATCGCACATTAAAGAGTACTATTATGTGTCAGGCAAACAAAGATTGGATAGAAGTTTTGCCAACGGTTTTGTTAGGACTACGTACCTGTTTTAAGGAAGATTTGCAAGCATCTCCAGCAGAAATGCTTTATGGAACTTCTTTGAAGATTCTAGGAGAATTTTTCATAGAAGATCTTCCAGCTGGTTCAGAAATTTTTGTGGAAAAACACCGAATTCATATGAGAGAAATCAAGTCTCAACCTACTGCGCACCATCACAAAAAAACACCTTTTTATCACAAGAATTTATTTGATTGCACGCATGTTTGGATTCGTGTAGATTCTGTTAAAAAATCTCTTCAACCACCTTACAATGGTCCTTTTCGTGTTGTAAATAGGATTAATAATAATCTTTTCACTGTCGATGTTTCAGGAAAACTTACTAATGTCTCTACTGAACGGCTTAAGCCAGTATTTTTGCCTAAAGAGATAGACTCTCATCCAGTTAATTCTACGCCTACTTCAAGTTCCACTACGCCTTTAACTACTTCTCATGGAACTCTGAGAACGTATTCTGGTCACAGGAAACAAGTACGTTTCGCAACATAGGATGTTGCTTGCGGGGAAGTACTGTGGCGTTCCTGTTACCGACAACTTCGTTATCGACTTAATCGACTCGAGTTTATCGATATATTTCGATATATATATTGTATGCTATTAATTTGTTGTTACTTAGTAACGATATTAATTTATTTGTTTGTAAAAACATTTATTACTTTCTTTCCCTGTATCTGACATTGTATACATGCATTTATAATTGATTAAACATTTATTATTAAATAACAAAGTCTAGTAATTTTCACATAAGTTCCCACACACGAAGCGCTGTTAGCGCATTCTTGTGTCGGATAGTGGAACCGTACAAGATATATATATAGTATATATGTATTATACCAAGCGGTCGACAACGACGGTACTTACATAGAAATTTCTACATTGAGACTTTGCATCATAATATATCTCCATTATAGTACACGTAGAGAAATAATAACGACATTTTCATTATATAATTGAGACCCAAGCTATCGATCAAGCCTAATAAGAATTTGATCGGATCAGCCGTTATTCAGATCTGGTAATCTGAGATACTCTCAAATGTCCGACTCGCGTATAGATATCCGGAGTGCATCGCTGTTGCTGCGCGTGACTTGCCGCGAGACATTACCGCGTCTCCGCAGAGGGTCCGCTTTATATCCCCGCTTGACCGCTTTCTACTTCCAGGTTGGCTCGCTCGACCTTCGCCGCGTAGCGGCGCCGCCCGGAACTACGCGCGGACGCGCGAGCGCGTGTCCGCCAAGTTGCGGGTCGCACTATTGTATCGCGGATTATGTTTAATGTGACGACCTACGGCAGCCACAATATCCATTCGATTATTCGTGTTTATTTGGATTGACAACAATATGGATTAGAATTAAATGATTTTAGATTGGAAATAATCCGCGAAAGCGATATTAAAACCGATTATAATTCGTTCGGAATTAAAATCGATTACTTTTTAATCCGGGCGCGGATTGAACCAATTAAAACCGATTAAAACCGATTAAAACAGATTATTTTTTAATCGGTTTTAATCGACCATTTTTGGCAGGGTTGTCTTCGATGTCAAATTCGTTCTTCAACTCTCTCTCTTTTGAAACCACTCACGACAACTTCTCTCACTTAAGGCAGCCTCACCATATGCTTCTACAAGCAATCGATACGCCTCAGCTGCAGATTTCTTCAAATTGAAGAAGTAAATCAAAAGTTCCCGCAAATGACGCTTATTCGGCTCAAAACTCGACATTTTCGCACACAAAAGAATATATTATACTGATAAAAAATCACTAATATATTAAGGTTATGTTATTGATTAATGTCCAATCTTACGATAAGGACGTTTTACATCTGACAATTTTAACCATAACTTACTGGTGGCGCCAACTTTTGTCAAACGGCGGAAACTTATTTGTACACCTAATATTATACTGATAAAAAATCACTAATATATTAAGGTTATGTTATTGATTAATGTCCAATCTTACGATAAGGACGTTTTACATCTGACAATTTTAACCATAACTTACTGGTGGCGCCAACTTTTGTCAAACGGCGGAAACTTATTTGTACACCTAATATTATACTGATAAAAAATCACTAATATTTTAAGGTTATGTTATTGACTGATGTCCAATCTTACGATAAGGACGTTTTACATCTGACAATTTTAACCATAACTTACTGGTGGCGCCAACTTTTGTCAAACGGCGGAAACTTATTTGTACACCTAATATATATATATATATATATACATACATATATACACATACATATATACACACACACACAGAATGTCCGACAAGTAAGTGACCAACCGAAAGATGGAGGCAGATTGGGTCAAATTGAAAAGAAAAGTCCTATGCCATTTTGCGATTTTCGTAATAATTATTGAGAAATTAATTA